CAGGTAGGTGCTTGTTGGAGCTCGTCCACTCCCAATTTCTGAGGAAGGGTCTTGGCCCGAAACGCCAACTTTCCTGCTCCTCTGATGCTGCTTGGCCTGCTGTGTTCATCCAGCTCTACACCTTGTTATCCCCTATTACATTGACACTGGTTTGTTTGTTTTAAACCAGAAGAGACCTGTAGCAAGTTAACTGTTCGACTTACACTGACAGAGGAAATTAAAAAGGTGCAAAAAAAATTAAGATTGACAAATTCTAAACTCAATGTTACCCTTTTAAAGGGGCCGCTGGCACAGAGAGACCTAATCAACTCTTTGGAAAGTGATGGGCTCAGTTGAGAATGCTGTTTAAATGTATACAGGATCTATGGATTTATTAATGGAAATCAGACCACATAACAATGTATTAACATCAACAATAGCTACAGAGCAGGTTTTAGGGAAAGCTCAATTTATACAAATTTAACAGACCAGAAACCAGGGGCAGCATGGCCATCTCAGTGGTTAGAACTGCTGCCTCACAGCACCAGGGATCCAAGAGTTTGCATATTCTCACCATGTCTGCATCAATTTGCTCTGAGTACTCCGGTTTCCCCTCACATTCCAAAGATGTGCAGGTTAGATAGATTGGCCATGCTAAATTGCTCATAGTGTCCAGGATGTGCAGGCTAAGTGGGTTAGCCATGGGTAATGCAGGTTTACAGGGATGGGTGGATGCTCTTTGGAAGATCGGTGTGGACTCGATGGAGCGAATGGCTTGCTTCCGCACTGAAGGGATTCTATGACCTATGAAACATAACTTGACCTCCTGCTCCAAATTTTGGGAGACCCACAGAACAGGTATAACTGGAGGAGACTTGTCTTGGGATCGGGGGAACATGAATGAGTTTTGTGATTTGTAGATTCACGTGCCTGAGGGTTAACGTACGATAGGGGTTTAAGAGGGTACGCGCTTTATTCACTGTCTCTCATAAAATACAGGGTTAGTCACCGTTTGTGCCCAGTTTATAAAGCAGAGAAAACTATTATACTTCCAATATTGCAAAGTAAATCTTAATTTGAATTAACTGCATTGATTACGACCGTTTGTTAGGAAGTATATTTGTAGCTATTTAACACATTGTACTGAGCGATAAGAAAGTCTAACAGAGAAGTTGGACGTTGGGGAGATTTTGCTGTGAAGTCAGGAATGCCTCCCTCTCTCCCTGTTCGCAGCAGTGAGCCCCAATGTGTAGCTCTCCCTTTCTCTGTCCTGGGTGATCCTTGTTGCATTCCCCAGATCACTCCCTGCACTCACCACAATGATCACTCGGCACTTGAAGCTGCATTGCTGGTTCTCTCTCTTCCCTGCGGGCTCCGATACTGGCCGCAGCATGGACGCCTGTTGCTCCTCGTTGGAGTAATGAGCTTCGTACCCTTGCCTGCCTTTCTCCGGATCCATCTCCCTCAACTTTTACAGCTCTGTGTCAAAACTAGAACGCTGCAACGGGCACCCGCATTTAACAAAAAAACAGGAGAGACGAGAAAGGCCAGAGTGATTGTGTGAAAGGTGCCGTCAGTACATCCCCCTTTGCTGTGAACGAACCAATCCCTCCGAAGTTGGTTGGTCAGGGGACCGAACAGCCTGGAGAGCTCCCTGGAAGCAGGTCTTGTAGAAAGTGAATAATACAACTTCACCACACAACCCGGGCCACTGTGTCCTGCTGCAACTGGTGCAAACCTCTTGTTATTGTTTGCGACAGTCTGGTGGACTTTTAGTTGGGAATGCAATCGCCATTTTCTTTTTGTTTACAGAAGGAATTTAAACAGAACGTGGGAAAACTTGTACCGTTTAATGGGCACGTGCACTGGCTTGTTCGCGTTTAATAAGTGTAAAATTTCAAGATCAAAAACGCTTCAGTTTTGAATTTCCCAGGGGATTTTTTAATAGCCTGCAATATATTGTTTTCATAAAATCCAAAAGAAATACGCGCTGCAATAAGCTTTCCTCAGCTATGGAGGACTGGGGCTCAGTTGGTGTATGATTTGGATCACTGCTTTTCACTTTGATCTTTGATTTCATTTATTATTGTCACATTTACCTAAGTACAGTGAAAAGTACAGATAGATCATAACATACATACCATATAAAAATCATAAGGTGATTTGATATGGGCAATGGTGAGAAATTTGGGAGAATATGGGAACAATGAAAAAGTGAGTCTCTACGTGAAGATGTTTATAAAATCATGAGCGTGGATAGGGTGAATAATTGAGGACTGTTTTTCCCAGATTAGGCAAGTCCAAAACGAGAGGGCATAGGTTTCTTTCACCTTTAAAAGAGACCTAAGAGGCAACTTTTTCATGCAGAAGGTGGTGTGTGTATGAAATGAACTGCCAGAGGAAGTGGTGGATGCTGGTACAATTACAACATTTAAAAGGCATCTGGATGGATATATGAATAGGAAGGGTTTCGAGGGATATTAGCCAAATGCTAGCAAATGGGACTAGATTAATTTAGGAGACCTGGTCAGCATAGACAAGCTGGACCAAAGGGTCTGTTTCCATGCTGTACAGCTCTATGTCTATGACTGTAATAAAAATCGAAACTTAAGTTTACAAAGCCTAGATGAGAATCTTGGTAGTAAGTAGCAAAGGGTCTATTTGCAAGTATGAACATGCAATTATTATCTAATCTCACCTGCTTAATATGCAGGTTGCTATTCTCCCAGATATTCTCTGCATCTCTGTTGTTGGCCAACATTCCCGACATCTCGGGGCGTAGTCCATTGACAGTGACCGCTTTGTCCCATCCATCCATTTTGTGGGTGGCTTTGTCCACATCCTAACTGCCCCTGTCGATCCAGTCATTGCAGCAGTTTTCATCACTCTGGCCAATGTACAGCAAGCTCAGGACCAGCGCCAACCTCCAGCAGCTGTCGACGGGTAGAATTTGCAGCTGAAGTTCCCCTCAGGAGGCAGAGGAGATCCAGGAGGGTCAGAGTGAATCATCTTCAGTGCCATTCTTCTCAGATGTGTGAGTGCTGTCAAAGACTGAGGATGTCCCAAGACACTAACATGGAACTGTGTCGCTGCTGGAGCAGAAGGAGAGGGTGACGTCCTATCAAGGTGACTGTCGAGGTATGAGCAGCTCTTAATTTTTTGTGTGACTGACTGCTTTCAAGGATCTAGTGGGATTTTCTTAACTCACGAATGTATCAAGGCTGTTACCAATACAGTTTTGTGCCAGATTTTCTGCTTCAGAATCTACCACACAGTCCTAGCATGCTGTTGTCTACACAACTGGAACAGGCAAAGACAGGCTGTGACATTCACTGTGAGAGAGGCAGTCATCTTCTGAAGAGGAAAGTAAGACATTGAGTAGGAGGAACATCACTTCCACCGTGAGAGAGCTATGCAGCATCGGGTGTAATACACCAGATAGAACTGAATTGACATCTGCCTCTGATAGATCTGAGGTGGATAAAATCATCATTTATAGACTGCAAATTTGTTGTTGCTCCAATGACTAGCACCCCATGTATAGTCCCAAATGTAAGTGTAACTGTTGCCTTGCCACTGATGCTGAACACCAATGCCTACAGGCCAAGGAGTGCATGACTCTCTGTATTTCTGACAGCCATTGAGCTGATGGAACTGCTACTCCATATCAGCCATCAACCTGTCCATGGAGACATCCAGACATACACACAGCAGAGCCCCCACAGAGAGGGAATGAGTTTTGCAATAGGAATCAAAACCTGAACATGTTGAGAATATCGTCACAGTGATGGTAATGGGAGAACAGCGCAGCACATCATAATGAATCTTGGTTGCCAGGACATGGAGGTCATGGTATCCTCACATGAGCAGTGTCTGTCTTTACTTATTCATTGAATGATTGTTTCCCTGTAGGATGAGGAGATGAACGTTAGCCACCCCTTCACCTGTCTTTGCCTTATTGTGGACTGTTTTCCTCCAGCAATGAGTCAACAGGAGGGATTAGTGATCCAAAAGGACTGACACATCCGATTGTGGTTGTGCAAGTGCAAGAAAAATGGTGTGGTGTCCTGAGTGAATGGATAAGAAGCACAGATGGCAGGAATGCTTAGTAGTTTAGGTGAATGGATTAGATGGGAGCCATTGAGAGAAGATGCTGCATAAAATGGTGCAAATGATAGTTTAAGAGCCTATGTGGTAAATTGTTCAGTAGTAGACTAAGAGTGAGTGTGAAGTAGCTTAGACAAAGTACCCTTATGGAGCACAGAAGGTCATGAATCTTCTTGCAAAAACGCTACACCTTCCCCTGAACCATAGAAACAGCACTGATCCGGATGGCAACTTTGGACCCAGCTGGCAGGGCCTGGTACCATGGTCTCCTCTGGCAGTCCTGGAATAAGTGAGAACAAGTCTTTCCATTCCACCACCCACTCCATCAGGATCTTCAGGCTTCTGTCTACAAAGCAGGTTGTCAGTTTGCCTCTCTCAGACGTGGCCTTTCCAAATGCAATATACTGTGAAGGGTAACTCCTGGCTTGCAGCATTTGAACTGGTGCACAACTGAGATTTAAATATGGTGCCTGTAGTGTCAATGCCAGAAGGTCTTGCACCAGAGACCACTTCCATCAATGCTGAGCGCAAGATTGCACTCAATTGGAGCGGTGGAAGTGGGGTGCACTGTTAATGAGGTGAATGGTGGAGAATTGCATGAAAAATATTAGCAGAGTGCACAGAAGAAAACCATGTGTGAAACGCTGTAAAATTGACACTTGGGCAAAATTTGGGAGAATTTAGCCCTCTAGAACTTTTGCAGCATAGAAGGAGGCCACCAAGTATGTGTCATACAAGCGCTATGCAGCCTCATGCTATTTCTCAGCTCTTGTCCCATAGCAGGCAATATTTTACCACCTCAAGTGCACTTCCAACTACTTTTTAAATGCAATTAAGATTTCTGCCTCCACCACCTACTCAGGCAGTGAGTTCCACATCCACATCCTCTACATGAAAATACATTCCTCTGCCCTTCTAATTCGTTAACTTTAAATCTATGTATCCTGATTTTTCCTTAATTCCCTAAGTGAAATTGGGTCTTCCCATTCACTTCACTCCCTCATAATTTTACCTCCCTCAATTAAATCATGTCCTAGCCTTCCGGGTTTCATAAGATGGAAACTCTTGTCATTGCTAAAATTTTCTATTCCTAGCAACATGCTCATGAATACCTGCAGTGACCTCGCCAATGCAATCACAACCGCTACCATCGAGAAGGTTATGGGTAGCAGGTACATTGGAACACCGCCATCTGCAAGTTCCCCTCCGAGCCACTCACCAACACTGTTGTTCGGCCAAAATCCAGGAACTCCCTCCCTTGCAGCAGTGCTGTTTGTGTACCTACATCAAATAAGCTGTCATGCTTCAACGAGGCAGCTCAATGCACCTTATCAAGGGCAACGAGGGATGGGAAATAATTGCTGGTCCAGCCAGTGAATCATCTGAGTGAATAATAAGTTATCAAATATTTCCTGCAATGCAGTGATTAATGATACGTAGTATTCTAGCAGTGATCTAAATAACGTCTTGCTCAATTATTGCATAACTTTCCTGCTTTACACTCTTTGTTTCAGCCAATAAAAGAAAGTGCCCCACATGCCTTCTTAACCATCATATCTGCCTGTCAGGGACTTGTGAACATGTATTTCAGTATCTTAGGTAACAAGGTGTACTGCTGGATGAACACAGCAGGCCAAGCAGCATCAGAGGAGCAGGAAAGCTGACGTTTCGGGTCTGGACCCTTCTTCAGAAATGGGGGAGAGGAAGGGGATTCTAAAATAAATAGAGACAGAGGGGGAGGCGGATGGAAGGTGGATAAGGGAGCAGATAGGTGGAGAGGAGATGGACAGGTCAAGGAGGCGGGGATGAGGCCTGTAAAGGTGAATGCAGGTGGGGATTTAGGGTGGGGATTGGTCAGTCCAGGGAAGACGGACAGGTCAAGGAGGCGGGGATGAGGCTGGTAGGTAGGAGGTGGGGGTGGGGGTTGAGGTGGGAGGAGTGGATAGGTGGGAGAAAGGACGGACAGGTTAGGGAGGCGGAGACAAGCTGGGCTGGTTTTTGGGATGCGGTCAGGGACGGGGAGATTTTGAAGCTTGTGAAGTCCACATTGAGACCATTGGGCTGCAGGGTTCCCAAACGAAATATGAGGTGCTGTTCCTGCAACCTTCATCGTTGTGGCACTGGAGGAGTCCCAGGATGGACATGTTGACCAAGGAGGGGGTGTTGAAGTGGTTTGCGAGTGGGAGATGCAGTCACTTGTCGCGAAGCAAGCGTAGGTGTTCCACAAAGCGGTCCCCAAGCCTCCGCTTGGTTTTCCCGATATAGAGGAGGCCACATCGGGAACAGCGGATACAGTATACCACATTAGCAGATGTGCAGGTGAACATCTGTTTGATGTGGAAGGTTTTCTTGGGGCCTGGGATGGGGGTGAGGGAGGAGGTGTAGGGGTAGGTATAGCACTTCCTGCGGTTGCAGGGAAAAGTGCCGGGTTGGTGGGGCTGGTGGGGAGTGTGGAGCGGACAAGGGAGTCACGGAGAGAGTTACTATCTCTATTTCAGTATCTTACCATTTGATCTGCATTGCATTCCATTGCTTACACTTGCAAATGCATTTCCTCACATTTTTCTGGATTAAATTCCAATTGCCATTTCCACAATCTATAACATTCTTTAGTACCGTCAACCATACACCTGATTTTTGGATCATCCACAATATTAATTATGGCCCTTAGTGAAACAACTTCATAGGGGCCAGTATCGCATCGTCACTTCCACATGGAGTGTCTTTGTCATTGACCCTGCTGTGTCAGAGCCAGCTGTCAGAGTGAACAGAACCCCTAACACACATGTTTATATCTGTCAGCCAGGGCTCCCTGATTGGACACGATTTACAGCCCCAATCAGGGAACTCATACTCTATATTCTGAGAGAAATCGGGAATGGGATACTGAGATTGCAGGATCACCCTTGATCATATTGAATGGTGGTGTGAGCCCGAAGAGTCGAATGGCCTACTCCTGTACGTATTTTCAATGTTTCTGTGAGGTCCACCTGGCTGACCTCATCTCAATTGCTACACTTAGGTTTTAGTCTAAATCTTTGAAAGTATGTGGTCAATATACACAAAAGCAACTTCCATATATATTGAAGGCACTATGGAGGAAAATGTCTCAAGACTGTTCAAAATACTCTTGTCAAACAAGGTTGCAGAACAAGACAAATGAGGGAAAAACTATGGAAGATAACCCAAAGCCTTGTTAAAACGGCACATTTTAAGCAGCATCTTAAAGGAGCAGGGTGAGATGATGAGGTTTAGGAAGGAAGTTCCAGAAGTTAGGGCCTAGGCAGCTAAAGAACTGGCCAAAAATGGTGGAGTAATTAAAATTGTGATGCACAAGAGGCTAAAATTAGAGGAATATTGAGATACAGGAGGATTTTAAAAGTGGAACAGCTTCAAAAGGGTAAGGAAGGATGCGGCTATTAGAGATTTGACAACACAAATGAAAACTTTGAAATGAAGGTACTGCTGGACAAGGAACTAATGCAAATCAGCTGCAGAGGGTGGTAGGTCATACAGCCAGGAAGCAGAACAAATTTATCTTCCATCCATTTGTGCTGCCTTTGAATCAGTGTCCTTAACATGAAAGATCAATGTCTAACTCACTGCACAATTCAATCCACGAAATCCTAAATTTAATCTTTAACTTATACCACAAGTGTAAACTAGGTGTTATAAATATTTTATGTTTTTTTTTGATGGTTTTTATTTTCAAGAGCAATTTACAGAATTCTATTTCTTAAATTTATTTGTGGAGGAGAAGAAGCAGAATTCAAACAACAATAATGTAGTAGGAATCTGGAAACATCGTAGACTGATTGCTGAAGTGATTTCAAACCTGGGTATAATCTTTCATCCTTATTTTAAATTAATTCTTCAAATATAGATGTCTCTGGAATTGCCAGCATTGAGCATCCCTAGTTCTTCTTGAGAAGGTAGTGGTGAACTGTCTTCTTGAACTGCTGAAGGCAAGTCTTGTTGTTTAGGGAGTTCCCAAATCTTGACCAAGGGACAATGAAGGAATAAGTCAAAATGTTGTGTCACTTGGAGATCATAGTGTTCCCTTCTAAGTAGTTGTGGCGGTGAGTTTGGGATGTGCATCTGAAAATCCTTTAGAAATGTTACAGTTCACCTTGTAGATAGTACATGTATACATGACAATCACAAACATAAAACTCATGAAGGAAATGGGTAGTTAAGTGGGTCAGTGGTTTGCCATTTGTGTAGACTGCTTTATTCCTTTGAGGTTCTTGAATGTTGTTGAAGTTGTGTCCGATAGGCCAATGGAGAATATTCCTTCACAGTCCTGGTTGAACCTTGATTGGTTTCATGTACTGCTCCATCATCAAGCTGGAATATCTCCAATACCACAGTACAAGAAGAGAGCATCTTAATAAATCCGTTTTGTTTTTTTTTCGTAATTGTGAGATGTGGAAAGAATTATAATGCCACAATCTTGTATTTTTAGGTTCTGGAATCTGTTGGTTTGAGAGAGATTGCAAAAGAAACCTTCTGAGTTGCTGTAAGATATTCCCCGAACAAGTATACTTGACAGTCACTACATGCAAAAGGAGGAAGTGGATATTTAAGTTTACAGATGGAGTGTTGATCAAGTGGACTACTTTGTCCTGGATAATGTTGTACCTTTGGGATTTCAATTAAATACCGGCATTAATGGCAGTCCTCAAATAGATCCTGGGGTGGAAGAAAAAAAGTGGTGAGCCTGTGGAATTCATTACCACAGGAAGAAGTTAATGCCAAAACATTTAATGTATTCAAGAGGTGGCTAGATTTAGCACTTGGACTGAATGGGATCAAAGGTTATGGGGGGAAAGCAGGATTAAGCTATTGAGTTGGACACTCACCCATGATCGTGAAGAATGGCAGAACAGGCTTGAAGGACTGAATGGCCTCCTCCTGCTCCTATCTTCTATGTTTCTATAAGAAAATGGGAAAGGATAGGACAAATGTGGGCTAATAAAGATTAGCAATCATACTATGGAGCCTGTGTAAACTCTTCCTCCTGGCCCTACATTAAGGCAAGATAAAATTTCGACACATATCTTTGCATCATTATCTTCCAATAATTTCTTAATTCAGAAGAACTCAAAGTGTTTCAAGCTGTTGTTTGGGGCATCTGCATGTTGACTGATCCATATTTCATTCAAGTGATATTCAGACATAAGTCATGGTCTCATGAAATTGGTGCTGTTTCAATTCTGCACCTGAAAGTTGGGTACAACAAGCTCGAATTACACTCCACTAACTCTGAAAATAACACTCACAAACAATGATGTTATAGTTCAGCAAATCCACAAAACATGCTCTGTTGTACTGTGCAAATGACAGAGCATGGGAACACTGGGTCACATTTTTAGCTGCCTCCTTCGAATAATTTACGCATTTCAGCCACCTCAGCGAAATTAAACGTGATGGAAAGGAGGCTAACTCTGATAGGTAGTTACCATGCACTAAAAAAGTACATCTCAATCAAATGGTTATATTGACTAACATTGGCAAATATCTAGGAGCATTCTGTGCTAGCGTGACTCAGATCATTGCAAACAGGTGGGGGGGAACATTTTAATACCTTTTAAAAAACAGGGTTTTGTTTTGCATGCTGGGATTCTAAATCCACACACATCAAAAAATCAATTCAGCATTATATAAAATCAGTTTTGAAGATTTGCAAATGAGGAATCAGTAAAGGTTCCAAGCAAACAATATTTTTGTTTAGAATAATAGTTATACGTTAGGTATAAATGCAGGTAGAAATGTTTTTAGCTGTAAAATCTCATTGATTGGCTGCTTTCTGCCCTGATAAAAATCGAGTCCTGTGATCAGCTCCACGTCCCTCACTCGTGCTGTATGATCCCAGATTCGCTGTTCAATCCATTGGGATTCTTTTTTATTATTCTGCCAAAAGAACACAGGATTCATTACCTACTGAGTGATATATTTTGTCTTTTACAGTTTAAGATAGGAAAATTAACTATGATAAAATTTCTATGTTGTTAGATAAAGTTAAGATACTTACTATTTGTCAATTACCATTGAAAAAATGGACTGGTTCACATTGTTTTAATACATACTTACCTTTTAACTAGTGTATTGAAGTAATTAAAAGTTTTGTACATATGTGCATTCTCATGGTTATTCACGCAGGCACTCCTTTACAGGCATCAGACTGACATTATGCACTTTGGTCTTTAATGAATGAAGGAAACCAACTAGGTAGCAGAGACCATAACTCCCAAAGAAGCCTTACATGTATCCAATAGACTAGAATGCATTAATTGAATCTATTAATCTATCTATCTATTATCTATGTGACTTCACAAACAAAGAGTCACTGACACACTATGAGTGACCAATCATAGTTAATTGAGTTTACAATCAAAAGAATCCTAGCACTTCAACTATGTTTCGTACCAGTTATAGAGTCATAAAGACATGCAGCACGGATATAGACTCGTCGGTCCAACTCGTCCACACCGACCAACTATCCTAAATAAATCTAGGCCCAGTTTCCAGCATTTGGCCTATATGTCTCCAAACCCTTTCTATTCATAAACCCATCCAGATGCCAAATAAATGTTGTAATTGTACCAGCCTCCACCACTTCCTCTGGCAGCTCATTCCATATATGCACCACACTCTGCATGAAAAAGTTGCCCCTTAGGTCCCTTTTACATCTTTCCCCTCTCACCTTAAGCCCATGCTGTCCAGTTTTGAATTCTCCCACCCTGGAGAAAAGACCTTGCCTGTTTATCCTATCCATGCGTCTCATGATTTTATAAACCTCTATAAGGTCACCCCTCAGCCTCCAATGCTCCAGAGAAAATAGCCCCAGTCTATTCAGCCTCTCCCTATAGCTCAAACCCTCCAACCCTGGTAACATCCTCATAAATCTTTTCTAAACCCTTGCAAGTTTCACAACACCCATTCTATAGCAAGGAGACTAGAACTGCACACAGTACTTCAATAGTGGTTAACCAATGTCCTGTAAAGCCGCAACATGACGTCCTAACTCCTATACTCAATGCATTGACCAATAAAGGCAAGCATACCAAATGCCTTCATCACAATCCTGTCTACCTGCGACTCCACTTTCAAGGAACTGTGAACCCGCGCTCCAACGTCTCTTTGTTCAGCAACACTCCTCAGGACCTTACCATTAAGTGTACAAGTCCTGCCCTGATTTGCCTTTCCAAAATGCAGCACCTCACATTTATCTAAATTAAACTCCGTCTGCATAATGTCCTTTGCAATATATATGATTAATTGAGACCACACCCAGTATCCTGTCCCATTCTGAAGTATCACTGGACCAGAAACATTAACTCCGCCTTCTCTCCAGAGATGCTGCCAAACTTGCTGAGTTTCTCCAGCAATTTCTGATTTTCTTTCTATTATTCTGTTTTCAGGTGACATGAGATAAGAAAAAAGGAGATAATTGGACCAGGATGTGCAAGTAAAATTTTGTAGACATTCAGTCGTTTTCTTGGATTATATTTTTACAATTAAGTATTTTGTCAACATTATGGCAATTTAGGATGCAAAGAAGTAGAGTAGTTGGAACATAGAATTTTCAATACAGATTTGACAGATGCTGAGAGATATAAATCTAAGGCAAGATAAAGCTACAGTGTGACAACTTAGCAGGCCCTTGACATAAACATGAATGGAGGAATTCATAATAAAAATGTTAGCAATAATGCACAGTTAAAGGATATTAAGTATTGTATCAATACGGCACATGTTGGAAGAGAGAATAAAATAGAATTTTACAAATGCATTGTGTGGTTAAGAAACAGATCTTTCAGAATCAGGAAAGTAAGAAAAGGCAGTTTTGAGCATTGAACAGGGGAAAAATAAACAATATTTGCATTCTTAGGAAACACAACGAATCCACAAAATAATAAATGTGATTAATGAATGATTTCTCCTCATCCCCCTCTTGATGTGCCTGCAGTCTTTGACACTGTTGACCACACAATCCTCCTGCAAAACCCCTCTTCCAATCTCCAATTGGCTGAAAATGCCCCTGTTTAGTTCCATTCTTATTGAAGCAATCAGACAAGGAATCGTAGACAATGGTTTCACTCCCTTATCCTCTGGTATCCAGAAGGATTTATCCTTGGCCCCTCCTATTTTTCATTTACATCCAACCCCTTGGAGATATATTCCAAAAACACAACATCAGTTGGACACACCCCGTTCAGTCTCACTGCAACCTCTCTTAACCCTTTATTTGCTGAACTTTACAGGTGGTGGCAGGGGTCCCCATCCACTAGTTGGCAAACAGGTGGGACCCCACATTACTTTTCCATGGGAGGCCCTGCATTATTCTGGGGTAAGCCAGCACTTACCCCACCAAAAGCTCAGTAGGGCTGAAATTCTGTAGTTCCAGCAGTTCTGCAAGACTGGCAGCACCAGCAGAAACAATGACCATTGTTATTATTGCGTTGGAAGTACAGAGAGGATGGGTGATGGATCCGCAGGAGTCAAGTAAGTGGAGCAGGATAGGGTTCCCATGGAGGGGGTCAGCAGCTGAAGGTGGAGTGTTGGGGATAGGGGAAACAAGGGCAAGGAGGAGGTTTCCGGCAGTCTGTCCTGCAAAAACCAAACACACTTTCCCAATGCCAGATCTCACAATGAGGCAGAGTGCCTTTGAATAAGGGTCCCATTGGTGCCGTACTCTATCACCAGCCCTGAAAAGGTGATGGGTAAACCTGATCAGTGAGTCCACCGATGGTTAAACACTGGCTGTGGGATGAGGCCCTTACCTGGCCCTTAAGTGGCAATAGAGCCTCAATTAGCTTCCAGACAAACCATAGATCTTCCAGCCCTAGAGACAAGTTGAGAAGGCAACAAGATCTCCACTCTGCACCCTCCAGCCTAATCATAAAGCTTCTTCCTCTCAGAACTAATTTCTAGAGAGGCATTGAATCCCACCTAGTGTCGAAATTGTCAGATTGATGATCCATATCCAGTACTGAATGAGCAGAAATTCCCTCTGACTAAATATTGGAAAGAAAGACAGCATAGTTTCAATCCTTACCACAAACTCCATTTCATTATTCCCTCTTCTTGGCAACTGTGAGGTTACTCACAACTTTGGTGTTATATTTGATTCCAAGCTCAGCATCCAACCACTCATTTGTAAGATTACTTATACCATCTTTTTCCACTTGAACGGCATCATTCTTCTCTCTCCTGCCCCAACATATCTGCTGCTGAGCCCTTATTCTTTGTTAATTCTAGACTTGACCATTTCAACCCTGCTTTCTAACCATCATAAACCTGAAATCATCCAAACGTCTTTCACTGGGGTCTTAACTCTCACTAAGTCCTATTCAACCATCACCCCATGCTTTTAAATTACATTGGCTCCTTGTTATGAAAGCTTCTGTTTTAATTTTCTCATCTCCCTATATCCTCACGCCTTCCTAACTCTGTAATCTCCGCCAGCCCTCTAAAATATCTGTGCTGTTTCAGTTATGGCCTAATGAGTATCTCTGATTTTAATCATGTCACAGTTTCCAATGCTTTCAGCTCTGGAATATCCTCCCTAAAACTTCTGTTTAAGACACTGCTTAAAACCTACTTCTGTATCAAGATTTTGGCCATCTTCCATAACCTGATGTAGCTCAGTGTCGAATTTTGTCTTTGGAGCATTTTGGGATGTTTTACTATGTTATAGGTACTAAATAAGGGTAAATTATTGTCATATGAATCACATATAGATGGAAAGAGCAAACACAATGTTTGCATGCATTTTTAAAAAGTGATGTAGTGTGGAATGGTAATAACATTTCCCTATGGTTCTGTCAATTTCCTGTCAGACAACTCATGTAGGAATTCCAGGCAAAAGCGTTTATGCTCTTTTCATTGTTCAATTATTAGACAGACATTGCCTAGAAGGGTGGTGGATGCAGATTCAGTGAAAACTGACTAAAGCAAATTGAATAAGTAGGTAAAGGGGAACAATTTATAGGGTTGTGGGAAGAAGGGCAACTTGGATACCTATTTTAGGCACAAGCACAATGGGTGAAATGTGTTGTATCACTTGACAGTCTTTGATATTTCTGCAATCTCTTGAATGAAATTGGATTTGCAACATTTGTGACAACAAATGTTCATTTCTTTTGTTTTGAAATCGTAAAATCCTTCTGCATTAAAATACTAAAGGGTAAGCTCAACAAAATGTGCTTCAGTGAACAATTTTGATTGTATGTGAAAATTACACTGAAATGAAATATTTTGTAAGACCGTTTGTTTTTATACTTTTCAAAATTATGAGTGAAATGAGGAAGAACCATTTTAAAATCGTAGTTTTAAAGGATTATTGCAAGTTTTGAAAACCAAGTAACTTGACATTTCTGGCAAACATTATGTTTGCAAACAGCTGTTTGAACAAGCAGTAATTCAAATGGTTACAGATGAACTGGAGCTGAGGAGTCCTGTATACAGATGTAATTGCTGGTAATGAGAAGTTGATTGAACTATGGAATGGTGACCACTGTCGATGACAAAACCTTTTTGCCTACCAACAACCATGTGATATTTTCTCAGGTAACTGAACATCTTGGGGCTGGGAGCAAGATACAGAGATGAGTGTTTTGATCCCCACAGTCCCTTTGTAGTCAAACCTGCAGAAAAGCAATTCATCTTTTCTTCAGCAGTTGCTATCAGCTGTAACTTGTAACTGATAAGTTAGAGGCCTTTTTCGAAGTGAACCAGCAACCTTGTACCTCTTGCAAACCAGTAGAAGCATCTGGAGAAAGGCAGCAATGTTCTGACCAGCATAAGAGTCACAAGGACCATCTCAACACTTTGTAAATAGAAATGGATGAACTGCCTTCCAGCTTAGCTTCAGCAACAAACTATTTTTCACTGCTTTTGTGTGTGTTTGTGTGTGTGTGTGCGTGTGTGTGTGCGCGCGCGGAGTGAGGGACATTTATAAGAGGATTACAGTCTAAATTAGTAGAGTCATGTGCTGACAGTTTAATAAATAATAAATCATAATTTTTGTTCACTATAGAACCCTGATCCATGCTTTTTTTTTTATCAGTATGGGCCTGAAAATTAGATAAATTGGGTAAGTTTGTGTACCTACTTTAACATATTTAACTTCTGTGATGATTCTGGGAATAGCAGGGTTTGATTCCCAACTGTCGCAATGAGCTGTGACAATTTTAGAATATGAATTCTGGTTGAGTTCTGACCAGTAGGTTGGAACTTAGAGTAAAGTACTTAAACTACCAAGATTGATCAAGAAAGGGATGCTCCTCCTACCTGCTCATATATCCCACAAATCCCTGCACCCCAATGCAATATTTCTACAGTCTTAGGGAAGTCATAGGAATGGGTAAATTTTTGGGATATTTAAAGGCACCTCAGGAATCTTCACAGGATAGCCTGTTGAAGGCGCAAAAGAGAGTTAAAACTACTTTCTGAGGTGGGGGGTGCTGCTGAGACCAGAAGCAAGCAAGTTAGCAATGTATCTAATTCTTTACCCTTCTATAAAACTACTATTTGTTTTTTGTAGAAATAGATTAGGAGATTTTCATGGCTGGTCGTTGGTGAACAGAAATCTTTCTATTTTCCACAAAGTCAAATGCAATAGTTTTAGGCCTCAGATTATTTACCGAACCAAGAAAAGTACAAAACTCCATGTTTAAATTTAGTTTTATGCAATGACAGCCATGTGCATAAATCATATTCCTTGTCCCAGAAGGGCAGCATGGGATCCCAATGGTTAGCACTGCTGCCGCACAGTGCTAGGGACTCAGGTTTGATTCAAGCCTTGGGTGACTGTCTGTTTGGGGTTTGCACATTCTCCCTGTGACTGCAAGGATTTATTCCAGGTGCTTCAGTTCCCTCCCACAGTCCAAAGATGTGCAGGTTAGGTGGATTGGCCATGCTAAATTGCACATATTGTCCAAGAATGTGTACATAAGGTATATTAGCCAGGGGAAATGCAGGGTTACAGGGATAGGGTAGGGGAGTGAACCTGGGTGGGATGCTCTGAGGGTTGGTGCAGAGCCGATGGGCCGAATAGCCTGCTTCTGCACTGTAGGGATTGTATGATTCTAGAAGCGGTAATCATATTGTCATCAGAGAGCTCAGTCAAAATTGCATTTCTATTACAGAAGAGAGATTAAAATAATGCCTAAATAAACCCATCACACTCCTGTCATTGCCATTTCTTTCATTACTTCCTGATAATGTATTTGGAGGTAATAAAGAAACCTGCAGCCCCTGATTTTTGATCATTATAAATTTATATATGAAATCACAGAATGGTTAAAGCACAGTAGACGGCAATTTAGACCATGTGTGTGTGTTGGCCCTGATGGAAAATTTCACCTCGTGTTATTCCCCTGTCTTTAACCATAGCCCTGCAAAACTTTATTTTTCAAATTGAAGTGGGCTGTGGTCTACCACAGTCATGGTGTAATACTGTGGCTCCCATAGCATAAGGACAAAACATAGATCGCGTAGCACTGAAGAATTCAATGAATTTTTATGACAGTACCTGGTATCTACATATTTATATTATAATCACAGGCACATGCATGTCTGGGCTGAAGTTAAACATTTTGCAAGAATTGTTGATTTCTTTCCTCAGCATTTCATGCTGCAAGGGGACAGAGCTCAGTAAGATGGAGACTGAGAGCTTTACACCATTGGACCACATACCAGGATATGATGATGGCATCATGAGCATGCCCCTTAAAGGTATACCACAAATCTTTGAGAGACATCACAACACAAATAATAATGCAACTCCATTTTCAAAACCTCAATTGATCCTTCCACTCTCAGACAACACATTCAAGGTGACCAACCATTCTGCGTTTTACAGGATTGTCCTGCATTTTTCCTTGCTGTCCGTGTCCCACGTTATGGCTTCTTGATCTGCCAGATAGCATGGATTTCATCATGAACTGTCTCAGAAGACTGCTGGATCCCCCAGACAGAGGAGCCAGTAGTATTTGGAAATGAAAATACTGCTCATGTGGAGCCAATGTTTTGAAATATTCAAGGCAGTAAGACCATTTGTCAGTTTTAATGTGTTTGTTTTCCCCTTCGAGGGATCTCATCTTGCCACAGTCCAAGGTCTTTGGTAAAAACCAAAAGAACTGTGGATGCAGTAAATCAGAAATAAAAACAGAAGTTGCTGGAATCTAGTTCACACAATCTAGTCTACTACATTCGCTGCTCACAATGTGATCTCCTCTACATTGGGGAAACGACACGTAGATTGGGTGACCACTTTGCAGAACATCTACGTTCTGCTCGCCAAAAAGACCCTGAACTGCCCATTGCCTGCCACTTTAATGCACCACCCTGTTCCCTGGCCAACATCTCTGTCTGGCTTGCTGCAGTGTTCCAGTGAAGCTCAGCGCAAGCTGGAAGAACAACACCTCATTTTCTGCTTGGGGACCCTGCAGCCCTCTGGACTCAATATCGAGTTAAATAATTTTAGGGCCTGAACTCTCCCATCTCCCAGCCACTAACCCCACACACCAGGCCTTGTTACCACATAGGCTGCCATTACACACCACCTATTGTTAGTCACTATCAGTCTCCATTGACAGCTGTTCATATTCTCAGCCAGATTATTATCCACTCCTTTGTCCAACTGTTTTCTCTCTCTCTCTGAGCGCAGTCCCCACCTATCATTTACTTCTAACTCCCTTCCCCCACCCTATCTTCTACATATAAACCAACATTTCTTAGCTACCATCAGTTCTAAGGAAGACCCAAAATGTTAACTCTGATTTCTCTTCATAGATGGTACCGTACCTGCTGATCTTTTCCAGCAACTTCTGTTTTGGTTTCCAAGGTCTTTTGTGTCTGAGTTAATGCACACTACCATTGGGCATGCACAGCAGTGCTCAGAAAGTTTATGGCTCAGCAGCTGAGTGAATGGGTGATGGAGGCTGGGGGCACAGGTGTAGTCAAGTGTTCCTCTGGCAGGCCTGCTTTGCGGTGGGACTTGGTGCCAGATCATGGGATACCTGGGTGTTGGGAGGCAGACCAGGCCTGAGTTCAGATGGCATTCTTCAACAGGCCCAGATTGGAGAAGATGGAGAGGTATCAAGCAGAATCAACATGGGATGGTTCCAACAGACCCAGGAGAGGGCGTCCATCAGATGAGGAGAAGGATAAGGGGTGCTCTGGCAGGCTTGAGGCATAATTCAAACAAGCCTGAGGGGTGAGGTATGTCAGGGTTGGCTGACAAGACCAACAGGGGTGGTGCCAGGAACCACAGAATGGTCCAACTTGGGAGGAAGGAGGTGACAGGAAGGAGGGGTTGGTGATGAGATGGTCTCCTGATTGCACAAGGGGAGGAGTTTTGAGAACAGAGGTTTCTAATTACTGCATGGGGCTTGGGTAGGGGAAGGGATAGGTCAGGAAGAGGCATTCTGAGTGAACAGAGGTGGTGAGGTGGTGAAGGAGGGAGTCGAACTAGAAATAGGAGTTGCCAAGTGAGTAAGGGAAAGTGGAGTTGAAGAGTTAGGGGGTCAGCATGAATCAAATTGGTGTCAACAGGATGAGGTTTAATCCAAGTCCCAGCTGAGGTGAATTCATCCTTGCTTTACCCAGTTGGATACTGGGATACTGTTGGTCAGAACTGCCTCCAGACAGAGAACACAAAAATGCTGATGATACATGGAACATAGCAAAGGCACATTTTTGCTTTAGGGCAAGTCTTAGGAGCCTCTCTGACTCCATCAGTGCATTTCCTGAAGACCTCTACCTCTATCTCCGCAAATACCCTCCCTCACTCTAACCTCCACCCGTCTTGTCAATTGTCTCACCAACACCCACCCTTCCCTGAAGAGTCCTTTATGGTTTTATTTTTCCGCAGATTTGGTCACCCTACTCAAAACTTACCACACACTACAGCATATAACCTTTCCTCATGTGGCAATACTTCCAACAATGAATTTTAGGGATAAATGAATACACTTAATTCTAGACTTCATATATACAAAACAAATTCAAAATTTGTGCTGTTGCCAGGCTGATCTATTTTACTTACTGGGCAGCTCTCACTGTTATCTTGCCTGTGTGGTAGAATGAAGGACCTTGCATGTAGTGAATCTTTACACTGCTGGGGAGTCTGAGTGGTGTCCTTGCAGTTGGTAAGGACAATGTAGTAGTGAGTTGGGATGGGGATTGCTGTGCCATTGACATGTCTGAAGAAATAACATGGAAAAGGAAACAAATTTCAACATTTTCATTAGGTATACAAAACAAATACAAACAGAATTATAGCATTTCTCAAAGATAATTAATGGTTCATTACTATAACTGTAATCTTGAGAGTTTGTTCTACTGACATAATTTGTTATCAGTCCACCAGACCACCAACAAGCAAGTCCTGCAGAGACAGGCAAAGGATACTTGCTGTTCTTGCAACCCTCAGCGATAAGATAAAATGCCATATTTGTCAGGATGGGTGGACTGGATTATCAAACTCGTGAATGTCTTCTATTTTGAAATGAGACTTTGTTTTCGGTCACCATGACATAATCTGAGCATTTAATTATGCTCCTTCCAGAGACGTAAAGTCTGTATGTGAAACAATACACTCTTATTGGAAATATCAACTTATCTTTTATCTGGTTTAAAATTTCGTTAAAACCCTTTTATGCAGGAAGCTTTATTTTGTTAGACTGATGCCCAATAATATTTTATAACTGGATGATTTTCTTTTAAATCCTCTGTAAGAGGGTTGTATGTGAAAAGGGTTCATTGAATGTTAGAAAGATATTTTCTGATATTGAGTTCTCATATATTCAAGTCCCACATATGCTGTCAGCATTTTAATTTAGAAATGAAAGCTTTATCAAAAATAGAATTAGGTCATCTCTAATTATTCAGGCAACTACACAATGCCAAAGCTAGGTATAATCCTTTATAAACATGCAGAACTGGGCTCTAAAATAATCTTTATTTTCATATTATAATATAAAATTTACATCATATAGTTTGCTTTCTTTATATATTTTATAAAGACATATATTTATATAGATCCTTTACAGTACCCAAAGCATTTTACAGCCAATGAGGGACTTCTTAGTCACTATTATAATGTAGGAAACACAGGAACAAATTTGCAAATTCCACCAACAACTATGTGACGATATATTTTGTTTTAGCAAAGTCAATTGTGTAGCAAATATTGGCCAGGACACAGGATAACTTCTCTGCTCTTCTTTACCTCAGTAGCAAGGACACTTAAGTTTCAGCTGAGAGAGCTGACAGAGCTTTAGTTTAACATCATCGAAAATACAGGAATCCCTCAGACTGCAATGGAGTGTTAGCTTAGATATTCATACCGAAGACTCCAAAACCTACAACTTTCTGATTCAGAGGTGAGTCAACTGTCATAATTTCCATGTTGCATATATAAACCTTGCACTAATTGAAGTGACTAATAGTTGTTCCAAACTGGATTCTATTTCCAAACTGCAAGATTCAAAGCTCAATTGCTAACTTTAAAATTATTCTTGCACTATACTACATAAATGGAATATAATAATAATGCTGAGCAAGAATGTATAGAATCATGACTTTCCTGTAATGTTGTAAACGTCTCTATAAATTGGCTATGTCAATCAAGGTATTTTAATTTTGCTCTCAACCAATGATAGATCAAGGCTGAATTTTGTTTCTCAGTAAACTAAATGGAATATGAAATAAAAATATTTTGCTTACTTCTTAATTTGCTCAAGCGTATCAAAATGTCCATCATAATTATAGTCAAATACTGGCCCACTCATTACATTGATACCATTGCTCTTTGCAGCATCCCTTGGCAGCATAGTGTTGTGGAGGTAATGCCAGATCTCTGTGAAGCAATCAAGCAGATGGAACTTGGTAAGTTTTCAATGTGCTGAAGGACAAGAGTTTCAGTTCTAAAATTTCAGTTCTATCAATTTCTCTTGCATCCTTGGACAAAAAGATTTGTATCCTGTAAATTGTTTTCTAATAATCTTTTTATTACCGTTGGGTGTTTATTCCAATCCCTCAAACAGTCAGCACAGATCTCTCCATTAGTTCTTAGGATCATGCCTTTTGATCTTGTCCAACCTCACATTTTGTGTTTGTAAATTATGCAGTTTTAATTCCCAGCAGTAAACTTTCAAAGAAAATAATATTGTTTATAATTTCAGCAACAAAATTGTGATGCATTCTAAGGCGGCATTTAAAAAAGAATCAATTCAATACTGAAAATAACCTCCAGTTATGGGAAAGATAAAGTAACATCCTCCCAATCGTTAGAAGTCAGTTACAAAAGTGAAAGTTTTTATTTGAAGTTATCGCCATCAGATTCAATATTGGCAGCTTCTTAGTTATCAGACTGAAAGGGCAGGAATCAGTTGTTTTTGAGTCCTGAACTGCCCATTTCCCAAGAGAATCCATCATTCATTAGGATTTTCAGAGAGGCACTTGATGTGCATAGATACAGGCTTCCTGGTCAATTCAGATTGACACAAGCTCTTGAAGCTGGAGGGCCAATCTGGCAAGGAGCAGCAGGCTGTTAGGAACAGTAAGTAACTGAGAAAGTACTTCAATAGAGGGGGCACCCTTAAAGCACGTTTTTTAAAACTTCAATTAAAAAAGGTTTTTGATGATTCTTGCAGCCTGACCACAATGGTAGCAGGGAAGGGAGCAGTGTCTCCAGACTGATGAGAATTTCCAGGCATGGAGACTGGCACCAGTGACATGTAAAATTCTGGCATCTACCTTGAATTATACTTAACAAGGCCCTTAATGATATTAATTGCCACGCCCAATCCTCCTCCACTACATTGGAACATCACTAGAGGACTAGCATGTTAGATGGAACTGACATTTCCTGGTTCTATTTGCCTTTGCTACTTGTCCATTTGGGCTCAAAGATTCTACTCAATGATGTTGGAATCTTTGGGATGCTATTATGTTGATGAACTTGTAATTTCTTTAGCATTGTTTCCCAGAAATGAATAGGAATGAGTAGATTCATACAGTGTTAATGCTGCAAGACTAACAATCAAGAGGTCCTAAATACAAATCCGCCCACAGGAAGCAGTGAAATGAAATTCAATAAAGGCAAGCACTGTATGTTAACCTAACCATAGCATCTAGCAGATTGTTGTAAAAATTTAATTAGCCAATTCATGTTTTTAAGGGAAAGGAATATGCAATACCAGCCCTCAACAATTAATGTCCTCGAGGTAGCTAGGTCTGATAAAACATGCTCATCTCCCATGCGCAAAAAGTAGGACAGAGGAAGATTTAGATTTGTATTATGTGAGGAGGGACCCATACAGATCAGGAAATAGACAGGTTCATATATTATGAATACATTGAACTTAGAACAACTTAAGAATGAAAACAGACTAAGTACATCACTGGTGACAAGCATTATCATATAATACGTATTAGAAGGTGGGGTAGAAAACCCCAAAATTAACAGACATCTAATGATAGGCCAAGAGAGTTTTGTAAAAGAAAATGGTAAGGGAAATTATTAAACCTGAATTTAGTACAAAATGTATTGTGAAAAGGGAACGAAGCAGCCAGCACAGTTTTTAACATCATTGACTGAAAAATGTCACACCTGTAGAGTTGTCAGGGAAACAGAGACATAAAATGAAAAGATGAAAAGCAAAAATTGATCACTCCACTTAGCAGAGAGTCATTTCCTGTGGATTACATCCCAAACTGCAAACACATTTTGCTTTAGTGTTTCAGGAATATACAAATAGTTAAAACCCAACTGCAACCCTTGGTTTGTGTATGTTAGTGGACAGATATACCAGCATGGATTGGTGTACTATAAAGGTCACAGTTGGAGGACATCATTAGACAGCCCTGCACTTTAGGTCAAAGAAAAAAGCCCATTCTTGTTGCTAGTTCTGGAGGCAAGGCAAAGTGTTGAAATCATCAATGAGAGGGAAATAAGACAAAAGCCTATCTATCAATTGCAAAACCAAGAATCATGAAATCAGAGATAGTAGGAACTGCAGATGCTGGAGAATCCGAGACAACAAGGTGCAGGGCTGGATGAACACAGCAGGCCAAGCAGCATCATAGGAGCAGAGAGGCTGACGTTTCGGGCCTAGACCCTTCATCAGAAAAGGGGGAGGGGAAGGGGGTTTTGAAATAAATAGGGAGAGAGTGGGAGTTAGGAAGGGGATAGGTCAGTCCAGGGAGGACGGACAGGTCAAGGGGGCGGGATGAGGTTGGTCGGTAGGAGATGGAGGTGCGGCTTGAGGTGGGAGGAGGGGATAGGTGGGAGGAAGAACAGGTTAGGGAGGCAGGGACGAGCTGGACTGGTTTTGGGATGCGGTGGGGGGAGGGGAGATTTTGAAACTTGTGAAATCCACATTGATACCATTGGGCTGCAGGGTTCCCAAGCGGAATATGAGTTGCTGTTCCTGCAACCTTCGGGTGGCATCGTTGTGGCACTGCAGGAGGCCCAGGATGGACATGTCGTCTGAGGAATGGGAGGGGGAGTTGAAATGGTTCGCGACTGGGAGGTGCAGTTGTTTGTTGCGAACCGAGCGTAGGTGTTCTGCAAAGCGGTCCCCGAGTCTCCGCTTGGTTTCCCCGATGTAGAGGAAGCCACACCGGGTACAGCGGATGCAGTATACCACATTGGCAGATGTGCAGGTGAACATCTGCTTGATGTGGAAAGTCTTCTTGGGGCCTGGGATGGGGGTGAGGGAGGAGGTATGGGGGCAGGTGTAGCACTTCCTGCGGTTGCAGGGAAAAGTGCCGGGTGTGGTGGAGCTGGAGGGGAGTGTGGAGCGGACAAGGGAGTCACGGAGAGAGTTGTCCCTCCGGAAAGCAGATAAGGGTGGGGAGGGAAAGATGTCTTTGGTGGTGGGGTCGGATTGCAGATGGCGGAAGTGTCGGAGGATGATGCGTTGGATCCGGAGGTTGGTGGGGTGGTACGTGAGGACGAGGGGGATTCTTTTTTGGTTTTTATTGCGTGGACGGGGTGTGAGGGATGAGGTGCGGGAGATGTGGGAGACACGGTTGAGGGCGTTCTCGACCACCGAGGAGGGGAAGTTACGGTCCTTGAAAAACGAGGACAACTGAGATGTACGGGAGTGGAATGCCTCATCCTGGGAGCAGATGCGGCGGAGGCGAAGGAATTGGGAATAGGGGATAGCATTTTTGCAGGAAGGTGGGTGGGAGGAGGAGTATTCTAGGTAGCTGTGGGAGTCGGTGGGCTTGAAAAGAATATCGGTTTCTAGGTGGTTGCCCGATATGGAGACAGAGAGGTCCAGGAAGGGGAGAGAGGTGTTAGAGATGGTCCATCATGAAATCAACTGCTTCACTATGAATATCAGCTAAATGCCATAATGTTCCATTATCTAGAATCCCTACAGTGTGGAAGCAGGCCATTCCACCCAACAAGTCCACACTGCCCCTCCAAAGACTGTCTCACCCAGACCAATTCCCCTACTCCTGTATCTAACCAAACCTGGACACTATGGGCAATTTAGCAAGGCCAATCCACCTACCCTGCACATTTTTGGACTGTGGGAGGAAACCCATGCACAAATGGGGAGAATGTGCCTGAGGTTGGAATTGAACCCAGGTTCCTGGTGCTGTGAGGCAGCAGTGCTAACCACTGAGCCACCATGCCACCCCAACTTTTCATGGAACATAGAAAGTGATTTGTAAATCTTTTTAACTTTTATCTTTTTACTCAATTCACAGTTCTAATCTGTGCACATATGGGCACGTGTGCGTGGTGTTTAATTATCTTTTCTCACGTTTAGTAGTTAACAAACTGACCTTTTCTTCAACTCAATAAAGATAGGCTAATATGGCTCTTTTTAAACATAAGTATCATTGGATTAGGAAAAGTATCCTGAAGGGAAGGGACTAAATTAATGAGAGAAGAGGAGCTAGCTCATCCTTCCTTACCCGGGAGTATAGCCATTTGGGGGATCCTGTCTGAAATTGTAACAAATTGGGAACCTTCAGCCAGGATGGACCATAATAATTAGACTGCTTCTTCTAAAGTGTTACATAATTCTATTTTAAAGAGTGCAAAGATCGAGAGACAATTTTATGTACTTCAAATATTTATTAATTTAGTCCCAAGACAAATCACACAGGAAATAATTGCATATTAATCTCACTTACTTTGGAAAGCTGGATACATAGGCACGATATTGCTAGTAATTAATGCATCATATTGTTCCACCTCTGTTTTATTCATATCTGAGAAGGACACATTAACAGTTATTAAAAAGACTGAATGCTCTAATACAAACCACAATGAATATGAATCCTTTTCACTTCCTTCTTCAAAATAGTTAAAGCATTTAGCAAACAAAAAGTTTTGTTTTACAAGGTTTAGACAATGCAGCTAAAGAGTTCAGCACAGACCAGCAAATATTTAGCCAACTATTTCTATATGTTGATTGCAGTACTCAGCACACAATTCCAAACTTCAGCACCAACTATCGATCAAGAGAGAGAATGAATTCACATAGAGTGCAAAAAGAGGCTATTTGGGCCATTAATCTGCACCAACTCGTCAAAGCCAACAGGGAGGCCAAGAAGCAGTACTGGACCAAGTTAGAAGCCCAAACCTACCAAACAGAGTCCCTACGTCTATGGCAAAGCCTAAACAACATTATAGGATATGAAATGAAGCAGAGCAAGGTAGCGGACAAAGACACATCCCTCCCTGATGCGCTCAATGCTTTCTATGCTCGGTTTGAGCAGAATGCCAGCAGTGTGGTGATGTCTGCCCCGACAGCCCTGGACACACCTGTTCCCTCAGTCATCACTCCAGATGCCAGATCGGTCTTCCTGGGAATCAACCTAAGGAAAGATCCGGGCCCGGACGGTGTCCCCCTGCTGAGCACTGAGATCCTGTGCAGACCAACTCAGGGGGGTATTCACCGACATCTTCACCCTTCCCCTCCTACAAGCCAAAGCCCCTACCTGCTTCAAGAAGACCACCATCATCCCTGTACCCAAGAAAACATACGCAGCGTGCCTTAATGACTACTGCCCAGTGGCTCTGACTTCAATAATCATGAAGTGCTTTGAGAGGCTGGTCGTGGCCCACATCAACTCCAGTCTCCCAGCCTGCCTCAATCCCCTACAGTATGCCTACCAACATAACAGATCCACAGCGGATGGAACATCTGGACAACAAAGACACCTATGTCAGATTCCTGCTCGTTGACTACAGCTCCACATTCAACACCATTATCCCCTCCAGAACGATCTCAAAACTGCATGACCTTGGTCTCGGCTCCACCCTCTGCAATTGGACCCTCAGCTTTCTGTCCCATAGGCCGCAATCAGTGAGGATGGGTAACTGCACCTCCTCCACAATAACACAACACTGCAGCCTCTCCATGGATGTATCTTCAGCTCCCTTCTGTACTCCCTGTACACCTATGACTGTGTTGCCAAATTCTGAACAAGCGCCAACTACAAGTTCGCTGATGACACCACCATAGTGGGGCAGGTATCTAACAATGACGAGTCAAAATACAGAAGGGAGACAGACAGCTTGGTGACATGGTGCAGTGAAAACAACCTCTTTCTCAACTTTGGCAAAACTAAAGAACTGATCATTGACTTCAGAAAGAAAGGAGGAGAACATGCCCCCTCTACACCAACGGAACTGAGGTTGAGAGGGTGGAGAGCATCAAGTTCCTCAGATTGATGATAACCAACAACCTTTCCTGGACTTCCTATGTAGATGCGACAGTCATAAAGGCATAACAACGCCCCTACTTCCTCAGATGGCTCAGGAAATTTGGCATGTCCATAAGGACCCTCACTAGCTTCCACATTGTACCACAGAAAGCATTCTGTCCGGATATATAACAGCCTGATACGGCAACTGCTCTGCCCAGGACCGTAAGAAACTACAGAACGTTGTGTGCACAGCCCAGACCATCACTGAAGCCAACCTTCCATCCATGGATTCTATTTACATGGCTCACTGCCACGGAAAGACTGCCAACATTATCAAAGACCCATCGCATCCCAGTAATGATCTCCTACAACCTCTTCCAACAGGCAGAAGATATAGAAGCCTGAACACATACATGAGCAGGTTCAGGAACAGTTTCTTCCCAGCCATTATTAGACTGATGAATGGACGTCTACCCTCAAGTAATGCTGATCTTGCTAACCTTGATTTTGCCTAGCGCATGCCCTGTGCAATGTAACCTGTATGCCTCTGTCTAAGTCTTTTTGATCTGTACATCCTTGCTTACAATGATCTGCCTGTACTGCTTGTAAACAAAGCTTTTCATTGTACTTCAATACATGTGACAATAAATCAAACAGCATCCTACCTAGCCCCAGACCCAACCTATTCCTGTAACCCTGCATTCCCCATGACTAATCCACCTAGCCTGCACATCCCTGGAGATGACAGGTTAATTTAGCATGGCCAAGCCACCTAACCTACACATCTTTGGACTGTGGGAGGAAACTAGACCACCCAGAAGAAACACACACAAACATGGGGAGAATGTGCAAATTCCACACAGACAGTTACCTGAGGCTGGAATCAAACGCAGGTCCCTGGTGCTGTAAGGCAGCAATGCTAACCACTGAGCCACCATGTTGACCAACTTCAATTCCCAATTTCACCTGGCCTTCAAGTGTATGGGTTTTCCAGGTTACATACAACCAGAAGAGGTGATCAACAAGTAGATCCACTTTGAAAGTGATGTGGTGATTCCAATATCAGTGACCAAAGTGGTTTAACTGAGATTCTTTTATATTCACATGCTCTTTCACTGAAAGAAATCCACATTTAATGCACTTACTTGGAATATAAAGAAAATCATAGGTGATGTCTAACCCTGGTTTATAGTTTGAACACTTCTGGCTGTGTTTTGCTGAGATTCGAGGATCAGCACGCAGACAGTCTGAAATATTTGGCGACAGCGGAGTAAGTTCTGCCTGTTGGCAAAATAAGACAAGAGGTTAAAAAAAAATGATTGAAAGAGGAATTGTGCTGGACTGAGTTCAAGTCCCAAAACAGCCAGGAATTAACAAGTGCTCAGTATGTCAGCATCAGGTCAATCCACAAAAAAATTCCAGTCTGTTCTAAAGAACTGGAACACTGCAAAAGAAATGGAAATACATCTGAGTCAATATTTGTGTCAAAATGACACACTCCAACTGACATACAATTCAGCGTCAAAAGGTTTTTGTACAAACTGCTGGGACTTCTTCATCACTTAGAAAAAGTAGGATTATAGAATCCCTACAGTGCAGAAAGAGGCCATTCAGCCCATCAAGTCTGCATTGACCCTCTGAAGCGCATAACACCCAGACTCACGTCCCCAGCCTATCTCCATAACCATGCAATTCCCATTGCCAATCCACCTAACCTGCAGATCTTTGGACTGTAAGAGGAAACCAGAGCATCTGGCAGAAACCCATGCAGACATGGGGAGAAGGTGCAAACTCCACAGAGACAGTTGCACAATTATGTCAAGGAGACAGGACCTCTTTGCACCTCAGCCAGGATGAAGATGTTGGCATTAATCTGATTGCGACATTAGCAATGTAGAGTTAACTGAGCTACCCGACCCTAAATCCCCAAGCCCCAATCAGGCCACTTACCTCACATGAATAGACAAGGGGAATATCCTAGGAGTACGCTTGGAGATAGAAATGAAGGAAGTAGAAGGTAAAAGGATGGAGCATGATAATAGCTACAAAGAAATCTGGGAAGTAACTCAGTTCATTCTGATCCATTGTCAGCTTTTCTTAAGAAAATGATAATTATTTCAGAAGCCTGATCTTGATTTAGTGGCTACTGTCTAGAGTGCTATAGCCACTGAATAATTTTGATTGGAGTACACTCACATATTAGAAACCTCATGTAGAAAGGACATAACCCTGGCTTTCAGGAATGCCTGAAAAATTGCATAGCCTGATTTTGAAGGGCAGAATGATTGTTCCACAATATTGGGCCTCATGTCCCTATCATACATATGAAAACAGTTGCAGCAAGTTACAATTTCTTTCCCAAAGATTTTTATGGCAGAAGTTCTGTAACTTTGCCGAATATTGTTTTGGCTTAATTCTTCATCCAGTCTTGATGGTTGTCCACATGTAACTGATTAGCATTTTATTTTACTGGCCCCGTATCTTTCTGCCCCACTTTCCTCCTTTAAGACTCTGTTTAAAGTCTATCACTTCGCTTTTGGTCACATGACCCAACATCTCATTTTCCTGGGTGCCACTTTATTTTATAATGCTATGAATTTCCTGGAGATTTTGCATTTTGTTAGCGGTGTTTATGGTATAGGTACTCTGGCTGGACAATCTCAGGAAAATGGGTCAAGCGTTTAGGACTGAGATGATGTCACATTTCTTCACTTAAAAAACATTTAGAATTCTTTACCTCAGAAGTTGTGGATGTGCCATCACTGTATATATCCAAGACTGAGCTCAAGACATTCTTTGTCTCTCACAAAATTTGAACAGAAGGCAGGAAAGTGGAGTCTGACAGAAGATCACCCATAAATGTAGCAAGTGGAAGAGCAGGCTGGAGGGAACCCACGGCCTATTTGTGATTCTATTTGTTATGGTCTTACGGCAGTTGGGCCAGTAGGACAGTGAAAGGTTGTAACTCTAATTTTACCCCAAGAAAGGAGGAGATCCTGCAACTGAGATTGAAAGCTTATCATTGGATTGCATGGGTAGAGAGCAAGACTGCAGCGTAATTTGACTGGTGTAGCTAATTAAGGAGCTGCTACCAGGACTGCTATCCCAATTGAGGGTGGCAGCCCGTCTCTCAGAACTAATAGCTCAATCAAAGACATGGCCATTCTGCAGTCTCAACAGTGACACCAATAAAGGGGGCCAACACAGAGATTGCAGGGAGAAGAGAAAGCAGGTTAAGAGAAGAGTTAGTGTGTAAGATACGGCAGGAATGCCGGGAGATTGGAGAACCCTCCACTGGTGGAAATGGAACCAGGGGGTTGGCCATTGTCACCGAGGATCCCACTGTGGCCCATGGACTGGTCAGAAAAGGAAAGTCAGCCGAGGAAGCTGCATTGATGTACCTGATAGTCTTGCCACAAATGTTGGGTGGAAAGCTGTGCCAGCACTGGTAAAATCCTGGCGCCATAATAATTTGACTGAGAATGGGTCAGTTAATTAAATTAATTGGCTGCTTGGCACTTGTTGATAGCTGACTGAGCTGCTAGCATTTCCACTTCTGAGAATATCCCATGGTGGCAGGAAGCCATCAGACTTCTCTTCTGTCTCCCAGCCCAAATCCAGTCTGTTTGTAAACTTCAGCTCCATCAGTCGAGTGAAGAGGTACACAGTGGGATTGAATCAGAAACAGTCGCACAAACCTTTCATCATGTACTTCCTGGTATTCATCTTCATGAACTAGTTAGTGGTCCACGTCACTCTTGTGCATGTTCTCACAGTCAACCACAGATTGGATACTTTTAGCAGAAGCAAATAGGTCTCCACCTTACCCTCTTGGCTTTAAAAGCTCGATAACACTGGAAGCCTCTTGGGGGCAAATGTTGCAACTATAGAAAAATCTACTACCACATGAAAAAGAAAGCTACATGACAAAATTGTTTTCAATTTTGTGTGCATTGCTATTAATGTTTAGAGTCTCACTGTGAATGTGGGAAAATGAAATTTTCTCCTTGTGGTTATTTTCTCTGTCAAAATTATGTTAAAGATACAAGACTTCCACTGGCATAGCACAAATAAACATTTATTGGTCTTCAAACCACAACTGCTTCCCACATCTCACCCATGTATCTGCATTCCAAATGGGTATGTTGCAGGCTTTCCTATTTTTGTCTGGTTGTTGATGTCTCATCTCAGTCTGGCTCTTTTCCCTCACCATCAGAGCTCAAACTCCTAATACTGTCCTTTAATCCTTTTTTGTCTCAAAGCTGATAATTACAGCATTGGAACCACACCCCACCCCTCCCTCCTTACTGCTTTATACTCAAGTTGAATGTTTCTAGACAAAGTTCAGGCTTATAATTCAATTAGGGTTTTATTTCAACTCATCACCCAGCGTGAAAGCAAGTCAGCCTACTTATATTTGAATACCATCTACTAATTTGCTCACATTATTATTACCTTTATCACATTGTTACCTTTAACTTTGAAATATTTAGCATCTTATTAACAGAATTAGATACCAATAGCTTACTCAATTTTAATAAACAAAAAGACATAAGGCAATACACAATATGATAATACATCACGTGTTGCATTTTTGCACAATCTTTAATGACTCATTATTCCACTCCATCTTGGCAATAGGTGGGTCAGGGGTGAGGTTGGGTCTATTGGGGGTAGGGCGGTGTTGGGGAAGCAGTCAGGTCTAGTCTGCTGTGGTCTGGAGATGAAGGATGGCAAGGTGGTCGGGCTGGGTCGTGACAGGTTGGCCCGGATTCACCTGGGGTGGGTGGAGGTGGGGGCTGCAATGGGGAGTAAGGGGTGAGGTCATACCTACTGTGGTATAAAGGGGGCTGTCTTATTCGGTCCATTCTGGCAGGAATAAGGGAGACTGTCTGACTTTGGGAGGGCGGGGTATTCAGTCTGACGGTAAAGTGGCAGGACTGTTGTATGAGGAGAGATATATTGTCATTTTCCACATCCAGTTTCATTTGTGGTTTCTTCATTGATTGTTACTTAATAACAACATTTACTTGAATACTACACTTGTGCAAATAAAATGATTGATTTTAGCTATCTTACAAGGAATGACTACACTTTGTAAAGATTTTAGTATGTTATCATTTCTAAACCCTGTTACTGATGGAACTCCTAAATCCTTCACATTGCTCCAATTCATATCACTCAGAGTGTAGGTAGCCATTAACCAGCCCATTCCACGCACACTGTAGATGTGCATCCGCTGTCTAATATCACACAATTGAAAGATTTTGCCATCAACACATTCATCACTGGGCTGAAGCTTCTTGTGACCAATACAATGTCCTTTCTTTGACCCATATCTCCATCTTCTTTCTCTGAGTCTTCCATTTTATGTTTAGTTTCAAATATTCTATTATACTGCTTGGGACAGTTCATGGCGTACTGGTACTTTGAATTGTACCTTTAACATCGATTGATAAATGGGCAGTTCCGTGATTGATTCTTTCATTGTAAATCCCAAATTCTCTTTGCTTCTCAAAATTATCAAAAGCATTTCTGTCTTAAATTCTCTTCATTACCATTCTTTTTCCATACTGTTGCCTGTGATCTGAATGTAGAGAGTCTCACCAGTTCGTGAACACTGTCCTCCATTTTTGTCATATTGCCTGCCATTGGAATCCTCTGCATCACAAATGAAGTTGCAAAAAAGTGCATTTCAAGGAATGATTTTAGTGTTTCCAACACTTGTTCTAGAGAAGTGTGTGTTTACCTGCAAATTTAACCACTGTCAACCTAAAAATTTGTCCATACTGGATACTTTGGCAAAGTCTAATAACTGCCAGCAAGGATTGGGCAATTTCCAAATTAACATCTGCAGTCTAGCATACATCTCATGAATTCCATTATGTATTCTCCACAGAAATGCATTCTCTCTCTAAATTTGTCAAAATCTCACCTCATAAGCAGTCAATAAATTAGCTTTTTGATACATTTTATCCATGAAAAACCTTTATCAGTGTTCATCTCATCAAGTGCCAAATCAGAAAAAGCTTTGCTTCTGATGGGATGGAAAGTGCCAAGACCACATCATGTTTCCTCTTTGGTCCAGGTCCACATGTTTAATTCTCTTTTCCACTGGTCATATGGTTCACATCCAGAAAACAGCGCTGGCTACTCATACCACTTCACTTTACACTTTGAGTAATCCATTTTGAGCAGCAATGTTTTACATTAGAAACTAAATGCTTTTAGTCAAAATCCAAACACACACACACACACACACACACACACACACAGACACA